ATGGGTTGTATATTTGCAATATTTTTAGAATCATGTAGGATATATGAAAATTTCCCAAATTAATTCAATTCTCTGCCCAGTGGGTTATATTTTTGTAGGCCCAAAATACTAGTATGATGTATTGGGCCCAACGCAGACCTAAAAATAATTTATTCAATTTCATCATTTCACTAGTGATATGATATCACTATACAATAATTTTCAGCTACAAGATTTACGAACCTAAAAAAAATTAGTAACACCCAATTATATAAATATATTCCTTTGCCCACGGTGGGCAGTGCCCACTAGTTTGTTTTATATGAAAAAAAACGTATTCTGAGAATACGTTTTTCAATTAAATTTAATTGAAAAACGTATTCTCATAATACGTTTTTCATATAAAACAAACTAGTGGGCACTGCCCACCGTGGACAGGTGAGCGGGACTGTTATAATAAGGTAATTACATAGCTGATGATACTGGAGTCTGAATCGACAATTAAGACATACCATAAAGAAATGTGGGTGTGGGTGAGAGTGTGATTTGACGGTTCTGACCCGCATATGGGCAGTGCCTCGGCTCGGCTCGGCTCGGCTCGACTTGTTAACTTAACGAACATATAATCGAGCTCGAGTTTGACTTTATTTTTATCAATGTTATCGAGTTGAACTCGAGCCTTAATGAGCTAAAATGAAATTTTAGCGAACTGAATTATAGAAAATTCAGAAAAATTATATTCTTGAATCTTATCGAGCCGAGTCGAATCGAGTCGAACTTTACTCGTTCGGTAGTTGAACTCGAGCCTTAACGAGCCGAGCCGAGCCGAGCCGAGCTCATAAGCGGCTCGTTTAATTTATCAATTCTAGTGTCCACACTGGTATGATCAAATCCTTCCAATTACAAATTGATCAACATTTCAGTTACAAACAAATACATTTTATTATTATTGTTATTATTATTATTATTATTGTTATTATTATTATTATTACACTAAAGGGAGTTTAAGAAATGACTAATTGCTCAATCCAATATTATATGATTAAAGTATCACTAATCATAGAAAATAATATCGCAACTGATGCAACAAATTGCCGAAAATAATATGACCATATGATAGTCACACAGTGTAATACTGCTATTAAGAATAACCAGGCTATTGTACGGACAAAGGTGAAATCCTAGATCAAAATGTCAAATTGGGGTCTAAAAGATTTTTTTTTTTTTTTTT